TTTTCGATAGTCAACATCGAGAAGACTGGGAACCCCAGAACCCAATCTCACGCTCCCTCACTCGCCGTTTTTGAGGGAGATATCACATGTTTTCTGAAAAATCACCAAAGTCAAAATCAAGGTCAAAACTGAGGCAAATCTGGTCAATTCTTCCAAAATCAAACCAAAGTCAAACCAAATGTCAAAGTTGGTCTAATCTACATTGTAAGGTCCGGAACTCGTAGATAATTCAATCAACCTCGCGTCAATGGTCATTTCACAACAATCAACAATCAACTACTGATGCCTCCCCTTACTCATCAACAATGTGTGATCATCACTGCGCTGAATTTTTAGATGATGAGTTCAGGGTAAACCGTCATGTGTGGTACCTGTACAGATTGCTCCATACACGATGACGGGGTATATCAAGCTGTGAGCAATCAAACCTTGCACAATCTGAGGGGGAGTTACAGTTTTCTCCTCCTGGCGCCACACAACGACAAAGCAAGGATTCTCTCAAAGGATGCAACATTTGAGGGGGAGTTTTCAATTTTTTTACCCTCCTCGGTACCGAACGATGAAAAAGCATACCGAGTGCTTCAGTTGAGGGGGAGTACAGAGAGAAAATGAAGAAACAAAGAGAATGAGAGAGAAGTCCCTATGGCTACCCAACTAAGCCTACCCAAGGGACAAAGCCGAGAGTAAATGAGTGAATGTGTGAGTGAGTGAATACTATGAGCGTTAAGAAGCAGAAGGCTCAAGTGAGCAAGAAAACAATATTCAATGATAAGTCTGCTATCTCAACTGCCTACTATCAATTGATCAATTACTCCCAGTCACTCAAATACTCTGGACAATCCCCATAGGTTCAGGACTGAATTTATTCAGATCCTGGGTAGAAATCACTGCATCTTGTCCAACAGTGCATACATAACCCTACACAAGACCACTCATTTGTCTCCCAACAGACAAGTGTTTAATCATATTTCACGGGGAACCTCATCTCTCATTACTGTCTCCTTCCGAGGCAAGTGATACTGACTACAGTGGCCTCAGCCCCATGCCACTGGACTTTCATTGATCACGCTGTGTCTAGTTATCTCACTCCCAAATGTTTTTGAATTTTCTAGGACACAGACACATTTTTTGAGTCAGTTGCAGGTCCAAGTGACCATGTGAGAACTTCCATAGGGCTCATCTACTATAGATAGACCGATGATTGGAAGGAAGTCCTGTTGTTGCAACATAGAAATCACCAACACGTTCAGGCCATCGCTTTAGAGTTTATCTCTATAGTGATGATAACGAGCGTCTTCACGACCTCGGGGGGCTACCACTTTCATTGCTGATCTTTATGATCATGCCTTAACAACCAGAGTGACATCTACTTCAGATGCTTCATAATGATTGGTTGGAAGTCCTGTTAGAGCTTTAATGCTTCTATCATTTTATACAGGCCACACATCAGTGTTTACATTGATGTTGTGTTAACGGAACACTTCTGTGTATCCGGTCTTTATCCTTTAACTTTTCTGTTTGTTTTCAATTTTGTTACCCAGAATAAAAGAATAAAGGCATGACGCCCCGATTCATCGGATCGTCATGAGGGGGAGAGTAGTCCACATGTTGTTCACTATCAACAAATCATTTTCAATGTTTTTAAAATTTGTTGGTCCCAGTTTTTAAAATCATTTTCAACAAATCATTTTCAATGTTTTCAATATGACGAACTATTTTGGAATGGACATACTTAATAATTACATTAAATTTGTTGAGTTTATTAAAATTTATTTTAACATCAAACTATATTCTTCAAAAAATAAAAGGAAAAAGGTGCAAATAGGCCCGTGTACTAACAAAAAAAAGGTCAAATAAGCCCTTATTTAGGAGGTTCTGTCCGGCCGTCGTCATTTGGGGTGGTTCCCGGTGAAATTTTTTGATGAATTTTTTTGAGCATCTTATTCATCAAGTCTAGTTTACTCATATCAAATTTCAGCTACAACTTCAATCGGGAAGGCATTCAAATGGATTCTTGAAGATAACTGCGCTTCTAAGTGTGCAGTTATTTTCAAGAATTCATTTGAATGCCTTCCCGATTGAAGTTTTAGCTGAAATTTTGTATGAGTAAACTAGACTTAATGAATAAGATGCTCAAAAAAGTTCATCAAAAAATTTCACCGGGAACTAACCCAAATGGCGACGGCCAGACAGAGCCTCCTAAATAAGGGCTTATTTGACCCTTTTTGGTTAGTACATGGGCCTATTTGCACCTTTTCCCAAAATAAAATCATCAAACTATAAAAACAAAAAATGCTAAATACTCGGTATTACTATTACCCAAAGGCTAAATGTACATGTGGCTTTCAAAATGTCTAAAGAGCATTGACCATGACTAGATAACTAAAGACCAACGCGGAATTAATATACATTTTGGATTTGACAGCCCAAATCCCGCTATTTGAGAAAGGCTAAAGGGTCAAATAGGTACATGAACTAACTTAAAGTGTTCAATTAGCCCCTTATATAGGAGGTTTTGCCCGGCCGTCGCCAATTGGGGCGGTTCCCGGTGGAATTTTTTGATGATTTTTTTTAGCATCTTCTTCATTAAGTCTAGTTTACTCATACCAAATTTGAGCTAAAAATTCAACCGGGAAAGCAGTCAAATGATTTTTTGAAGATAACTACGCAGTTAAACAACGCAGTACATTTCGGAAAATCATCCGACTGCCTTCCCGATTTAACTTTTAGCTGAAATTTGATATGAGTAAACTAGACTTAATGAAGAAGATTCTCAAAAAATTTCATCAAAAAATTCAACCAGGAACCGCCTCAATTGGCGACGGCCGGGCAGAACCTCATATATAAGGGGCTAATTGAACAGTTTAAGTTAGTTCATGTACCTATTTGACTCTTTAGCCTTTGAGAAATCCCCAAAAATACCCCGTATTTTTGCCATGTCTGCACCGAATCCCCGTAGTTTTAGAAATGACCCACCCTTCCGCCCCATCCCCTTTTTTAATTTATTTTCCATTTTTTTGCTCTCAATACACCATCCAAATTTAACCTCGTTCCTCTCCATACCCATTTTTACTATCCTCTTTAACCCACCAATGTATGAAATTAGGAGTCCTAAAATGTCATCTTTAACATTTTGAACTCCTAATACCTCACAACTCCAATTAGTCTTACTACGTAATTAAAATCATATGGAGTATCATTATGCATGACATTTATTTATTTTTATTTTATTTAGTGCTGACATGGCAGATGACAAGATAAATACTACGTATATAATTATTTGGGAAATAAATTTAGAACTATCATAATTGGAGTACCCCTATTTGGGAAAAACTCGCCAAACTTGCAAAATATTACTATGTTTAAAGTCTCGTAGTGTCAAAACATAATATTAATTACTCTTATTAAATAAAGGGATAAGGGTTAAATAGGGCCTCGAACTTGGAAAAAAATGTCAAATAAGGCCATATTTAGGATGCTATGTCCGGCTGACGCCATTTGGGGCGGTTCCCGGTGGATTTTTTTTATGAAATTTTTTGAGAATCTTATTCATTAAGTCTAGTTTACTCATATCAAATTTCAACTAACAATTTAATCGGGAAGGCATTCAAATGAATTCTTGAAGATAACTGCGCTTTTAACTGCACAATTATCTTCAAGAATTCATTTGAATGCCTTCCCGATTGAAGTTTTAGTTCAAATTTGATATGAGTAAACTAGACTTAATGAATAAGATTCTAAAAAAAATCATCAAAAAATTCCACCGGGAACCACCCCAAATGGCGTCGGCCGGACAGAGCATCCTAAATATGACCTTATTTGACATTTTTTTTCAAGTTCGAGGCTCTATCTGACCCTTATCCCTTAAATAAATAAAAACATGAGAACCGTACTTTGGAAAAAATAAACACAAAAGGTACTAAAGTCGTTTATGCCTCAAAATAAATTTAATGGCTTCAATATTGTATATATAAAAATTGAAAAGAAAATTTCCAAGAATCTATTTTTAGCTGGATTGTTTTATAATTTTTCATATATAATATTGGTATCATATGAAAGATTATAATTTGACAATTGTTTTGACTATTTCATTTTTTATTCAATTTTAAAAAAAAAAAATATCATTTGAGTAGGTGAACAAAACTGAATTGGTACTCTCCTCCAAACTTTGTTTGGAAAAGTGATGTGATTATGTGAACCCTTGGTCCAGTTTTCATGCAACCGTATATACCGCCATCACCAATTTGCCTCCACCATCGAAGATGTTCTAAAATTCAAGCTTGTACAAAAAAAATTGAATCTCAAAGTTAAGCGTCAAGTTTGGTAACTCTATTTTTCAACTTATCAAGCATAACCAACCTTTTCATCAAACAACTTTTTATTTCACACGCTGGATTACATAATAATGATAAAAAAAAGATCGAGATTACTTTTTGGATGCGTTGTCTGAAGTTACAGTAGAAAATCATTTTAACTATTTTTCATACAAGTTGTTCTTTATTTAATTAATAAAATACGTAGTATATCTTAAATACTTCGTATAATTTTTTACATAAATCAAAATAATTAGTCAATCCAGTCACTTCAACCTGAACTTCATAAATTTCAATAGAATCAATTAATACAACTGATTCGGTATTACCAATCGGACTCTTAATAAATGAATGGTTTTGAGCTATGAAGCACTGCTAAGTAAACATCACTAAACCTTGTAAGTTGTGATATTTGCATCATCACGGCAATCCCTATAGAGCAGGAAGGTGGGTGATATTCACATCGTTTACTTGTTTAAAGTTGGTTCAAAATCCATACAAAACGAACAAATAAAAATAAATACTGTTAGGTAGATTTTTTTATACCGAGTGCCTTCTCATGCTGCAGCCTTCTGATGAAGTAATACCTTATCCAACCGCATAAATCATGAAAAAGGAAGAAAACAGATCCCTGCCACAAGAGGTGAGCTCATAGCAAAGTTATGAAAGAAATCATGATGCTAAAATGCGAGTCCAAGACATATCAGTTATACATATTATCTCATACATATTGAGAGAGAATGAGTCCAAGACATATCAGTTATATATAGTGTGTCTTCTCACTACACCATGGAGCCTACGGTTGTGCATTCTGGGCTGTGCTGTTAAAGGAAAGCAGAGAATCATTTAGTGTGGCATCACTACACCCAACCAGCTTCATGCAATCAAAGAACATCTTGGCGGTCTCAGCCCCTCTGTTTTCTTCAAAATATTTGAGAAAACTCTTGACAGTTTCATTTGGAAGTACCCACTTCTTTTTCAGCTTAGCTGCCTGAGATGCACCCATATCCAAATACTTAAGAGCCAAATCAAAGTGAGACTTTTTTGTGTATGAACTAGTTAGAAACTCCAGAGTCCTCAAACTGGGTAGAACACCTCTTTCAAGAATACCTTTATATAGCGATTCAGCTTCCTCGATCATGTCTCTTTCTAGGTATAACTCTAGAAGAACATTTGAAAGCCTCACATCATAGTATTTACAATTTGACTCCCACTCACGAAAACATTTCTCAGTGGTTTCAAGATCTCCCAATTTGGAGAGAGTCCTGAGAATAATGAGATAACTATTGTTACCTGGTTTCGGGAATGCCTTCTTTAATGATTCCCATGCCTGCACAACCCCCATCAGATTCGAAACTTGGGCATTCAATGTGATCAGTGTGTGGAAGGCTTCTAGATCATTTTTCATTACTGCTATCTTACCTAGCACCGAACTAGCCTTTTCAACTAGCCCAGCATTGACATATAACGTTGCAAGGCTTCCATAAGTGAACGAGTCAATCTCTATGTTGTTAGATGTCATCTTCTCAAGGACTCCCTCAGCTGCATCTAAATCCTTCAAGGCACCATAACTGTTCATTAAAAGATTGTAAGTATATACATCCAAATCAATTTTATTTTCTTCCATTTCTTTCACCAGTTCAGGAACCTTCTCCGGCAGGCCAGTCTTTAAATAAAACTTCATCATATTGTTATAGTTTAAAGTAGACGTAACATTTTCTTCCTTCATCTTCTTAAAAAGATCACAAGCTTTTTCTGAATGTTTCGGCAGACAGTAGCAGCTTAAAAGCGCCCCATAAGTCCTAGCAGTTTTTTCAGATTCCGGCAACCTTGTGAAGTACTCTTCTGCAGAATCCAAGTTCTTGGCTTTGGCAAGAAGCTCTATCCGGACCGCACGATCAGCATCATTAGCTGGGAATTTATTGCTATTCATCCATTCAGACAGCTGCATTATAAAATTAAATGTAAATGGAAACTAATCAAATTAGCATAAAGACTAAAGACAAGTGTGATAAGTGACTGCAAGTTTATAATGTTTAAGGTATAACAACTTTGGTACTGTGAAAGTCTCAAAGAAAAAAGCTCAATTCTGTTCGACAGTGTTGGGAACTAATAGTTCCTATCCGACATAATTTTAAGCCCGAGTTGAGCTTCATAAAAGACCCCTCTATAGTGATTTCAATTTCAGTAATACCCTAAATAAAAAGATCATCTTGACTGTATAACCGCCCTCCTCATCCAATAATTAAACAATAATCATAACAACATCTAATTAACATGTTAGGTCATTCACAAATTACAATTCACATGCCAATAATTCAAAACAATAACAATCACATTATAAGCTAGAATAAAAATCTGGAAATAACAAATTAACAAATAAACAATAATTCAACATTTCAACAAATGAGCGAATCAAATTAGAGATCCAAAAACGTATAGTAGCCCCATGAACAAATAGCAACACCTTAGGAGACCCAAAAATAGGGAATGATTGTTCCCCTTTATTTTGGATACATTGTTATACATAAATGATTAATAGTACTCGTAAAATAATTTTTTTTTTTCTAAATTGGACCCTATTTCTTACATTTTTGGGGCCCTGAGACCCAAGCCTTACTAGGCTACATAGAGGCACGGCATTCCTAGCTATGTTTCTGAATTTTACCAAACATAAAACAGTTTGTTTGCATGGTCCTTTACATTAATTATTGATATTGCACAACCTGTGGCTGTCGCTAGACTCGCTACCAAGTTTTATGTTCTCAGTTGACCTAGTCTCAATCGAATGAAGAAATGTACAGATCCATAAAAATATTCAACTAGATAAACAGGCAACAGATTTGCGTTTATGAGAAAAAGTAAAGACCTGGAGGGCCAATTTGTACTTTTTGGCACTGCGGTATTGGTTGATTGGCCTAATAATATGCCATTTCTGGATGGGAGTTCCATTACTGATAGCTTTCTCCAGAGCCTCGATGAGCTTTCCTTCCTTCTTAGCTTTGAGTATGAAATCTGTAATCCCACGGCTACCAACAGCCACTTCTTCCTTTGGAGTACATATCGCCGCCGCGGATTCCGCTGAAAACACCTCCGCTTCCGTCGAAATCCAACGACGGGCGGCCATTGCCCGGAGGAGATAAGCATATCTAGGTATGCTGGCCATTTGGCCCCAGATTTTTTTTTGGCTAACCGAAAAGGAGAAAGAGTGGAGGTTTTAGCTAGGGCTTTACACTTTCTACGAATAGCATTCAATATTTGCAAGCAGTTGGCTTTTTTTGCAAAGCTCTTAAATAAAAATACTTTTTGGGAAAAAGTGATTAGTGGTAAAAATTGGTAGTGTTTGGTAAAATAAGTGCTTTTTGTGTAATAGAAAAAGTAAAAAATAGATTCTACACGAAAATCGAGGAAGTAAAAGTTGATAGTGTTTGATAAAATAAGAGTTTTTTTCTTAAAAAAAAGCCAAAATTACTTTTTTTAATTGATTGCAAATTTGAACCTTTTCAAATTTGTATTAGTGGATTATCCATTTACCCCAGGCCTTAGATTGAAATAAGAATGGTTGTGTACTTGTGTCGGCTTTTAAAAAAAAAAAATTGATGTGATCCATATTTAATGGAATTTCATACATACCGATAAAGTTTAAATAAATTAAAGTAGCAATGAATAAAAATCACACAAATATTGTCAAAAAATAATACTCCGTATTTAATTGACAAAGTTTACATAAAGTAGCAATGAATAAAATGACATAAATGTTGTCCAAACATCAATATGAAACAAACGACAGACCGTATTATTAAGAGAATACTATCCAAAATAGGACTAGAAAAGTTTAAAAATTTCAAATTAGGATTGCAATGTTTTTATTTCCAAAATATGACTAATTACTGTCATGTTTTGGCAGTACCAGACTTCAAATGTGGCAGTATTTTCCAAACTTGTCAGTAATTACTCCTATTTTGGGATTAAAAACATGACAGTCCTATTTTGAAAATTTTAAACTGTTTTAGTCATATTTCGGGAACTTTCCTTATTATTAATAAGAAAAGTAAAAAAAAATTATGATCGCGAGTTATACAATTGAGATAAAATTAGTTTTTTAAGGAAGAAAGCTTATATTATATCATAGGACAAACACTCTTATTTCGATCACTTGTCCTATGATTAGGCATAGAATTATGGAAAATTCTTGGTGTACATGTTCTTACACACACCAGTACACCTCCGTGTCTGTGAGAGTTTTTTTTGTCTGTGAATCCCAGTTCACAGACATAACCGGCTTGTTTTGTCTGTGAAAAATTCTACAGACAAAACAAACCAGTTTTTGTCTGCCGATTGGTATTCACAGAAAAAAAAAACTCTCACAGACACGGAGGTGTACTGATGTGTATAAGAATGTGTACAAAAGGAATTTTTGTAGAATTATAAGTTCTAAAAGGACAATAATTCGCTAACCACTCAACGGGCGACATGTCTATTGTGACCAAAAGTAAAGGATTGCCGTTCAGAACACTCACAAGTCGAGTGCTCAACATCACAGTACAAACAAAAAAACATCCAAATATCCCCTCTACAAAGACCTAAACCAACGGAAATAAAACTAAAACTAGTCGTCTGAAAGAAAAATTGAAAACAAAATAAGCACAACCGGAAACTTGAATTATTCAACTGCAACTTTTCGGGCGAGCATATTGTCTAGTGATCGCCTCAATCCCTTTTTTTCTTCTTCTTGTTTCAACCTCCATCATTGAACTTGCTTCTTTTATCTTTATCGCTTTCAGCGCTTTGCCTTCCTAGGATAAAATTAGTTAAAACACAAATTAATAATCATTTTAAAAGGAAAATGACAAAGTTTTTCCGGATAAATAAAAACGATGGGCAAAGATCAATGATCGGGAAAAGAGGAGAGCTTCGTGTGCGACCCACGTCAGGTGATGAGTGTAATAATAGGATGAGAGGCATATTTGAAATAATTTAGATCCATTTTGGGGGTGTTTGGAAAATGGTTGTTGGCTGCTGACTGTTGACCGATTGTGTTGGCTAATAACTGATAGCAGATTCTGTTGGTTGTTTTGATTAGCTGATAGTTTTAGTTGTTTGTAAAATGATGTTTGGTTAAATGGTTGCTTAAAATTAGTTGATAACTTATCATATATCTTTTAAGGACATCAATTATTTTTTATTAAAGTTACCCTGTATAAGTAGAACGTTTTAAAATATTTTAAATTTATGATATAAAAAAAGGGAATGACTATATAGCTTAAATAAATATGATAGGACAAATTAATAACCTATATTATGTTTTTTTAAGTGCATAGCACTTTTGTAGCTAATGTGAGGTGACGTGGTCTTAGTTCATTATGCAACCGTGTGTTTTTTATTCATTTAAATAAGTTAGTTATGCTATTTATTTAATTTATACAAATGTATGACATAAACTCTTAACTGCACATATTTAAAGTTGTATATACAGTTAGTCAGTTATACACCCAAATATTCCTTTAGAAAATAAGAAGTTTAAGAGCACAATTATAGAGGGTTTTCATTTCAGATTTTTTTACAGTGATTTATATGCATTAGTGATATAAATCAGGTTATCTATGTTGGGTGTAGAAGAGATAACGAGAGCTTGTATAGAAGAATTAGCGAGAGATCATAGAAATGAAGCTTTGGAGAAGAAGATGTTTATTATTCAAACCATGATGATCAACAATGTACGTGAGAATATATAAAGTGATCGAATGATAAGAAAGTCAGCTAGCTAAACAACAAACTACTTCGTATTAGTTAACTTGACACATGTCATTATTCAATTAGCTTCTATTAACAACATCTAACAATGTATAGCTTGATGATCTGGCAAAACTAACTCCAACTGTATCAATTAGCTAAAGGATAATATTCATTTAATTTAGGACTTTTGTCTTTATATTCCTAAGTTGGAGTTGGAGTTGGAGTTCAGGGGACGTCGTCGTCGTGTGTGTGAAATAAAAACAACGATGGAATCAATGAATCACAATACAGATTTGTTGGTTTTAAAGGCTTGATTTGGCTTAATGTGAAGAAGTATCGGAGAGCAAAAACGGATAAGAGAAGCCATGGAGAAGAAAGCTTTTCTCCACTGCTATGTTTTTTTAACAGAAGTACCAGAACGTGACACACGAAGAACAGGGGACCTGGAGACGCCCTAGGCAGAATAGGGATATGGACGAAATTTTCAAACGGCCATTAGGTGAAGGCAGGGTTTATCAGCTTTTTCCATTTTGGCTGCTTTGGATCAAAAGTAAGTCAAAAAGCTAAGTAACCAAACACACCAATTAGCTTTTTTATCTGGTCAAAAAGCCAAATAATAGTCAAATCAACCAAAACATGGTTGATAGGCTATTAACCAAACACCCCTTTTGTAAAATTAAAAGTATTTGAATGTTTTTATTGGACTGATTTCACCCTTCAACCAGACCTGAACATATCAGTTCATACCAAATCAAGCTTAAACAGATCAAATCAAATTAGAAGATTGCGGTCCAATGGTTCTCGGTATTTTTTGCTCCGTGTTATATTGTCAGTACGAAACCAATATTCATAATATTAACATTTTATAAAGAATTTATGCAAAGAATTTATGCTTCATTTAATAAGTATTCCGTATTTTTTTTTATTTTTTTGGGATGAACTCCGTATTTATTTATTTATCAAAATCTACATTACTTTTCTCAACACCGCATGGGCGGATCACAGATGTAGGAGTGAGCTTTTCTAAGCTCGAACCTATCCCAAATTCTTTAAAATGTCATACTTAGTTAATATAATTAGTTAATTAATTTTAAGTATATCCCACATATTAACATAAATTTAGTGATCCTAACTTGCATTCTCTTATCCCTTAAAATTTTATAGAATTTGAATGGAAAATCAAATAAGAAAGCACAAATATATAATTCATGTTTGTGGAGAGATAGAGAATTAATTTTAACTACAATCGATCACTTTAAAGAGGGTGTAACAAAGTTTTGCACAAACATATGAAGTTTCCTTTTATGATTAGAGGTGGACCCGGTCTACTGTCCCAGATTGGTTGAGCCCAGAATAGGCCGGTTCATGGGATTGGACTAGAACCATTCTTCAATTCGGGCTTGGAACTTGTGCTAGTCTCTGTCCGTTCCCTTAAGAACTCTTTTGTTTTCCCCTTTTCCTATTGGCTACATTTTTTCCTATTGGCTACATATTATAGCGATTTGGAGCCTCCTCCAATGGCTCTTAAGACCGTTGGAGGGGGTGGGGTATGGGAAAACTTATAAACAAGTCTCGTTTTTTCATCTCTTCAAAAGGTTGAATCCCCAAACTCCAACCTCACAGAACATATTAGAGCTTGTAAATCACGATAACTTAATCAACCAAACAGTATTACGTATACTATGATATAGCCATTTGGAGCCTCCTCCAACTTCTCTTTAGAATCCTACTACCACGGGTTCCCAAGCTCATCATCACTACGAATCATACCTTTTCTTGAAGAATCTCTAAAGTATTAAAACCAAATATTTTCTCTTTTAGATATGTGGCTCAAGTTTTTCTTACAACCTTCTAGATGATACTCTAAGGGAGTGTTTGCAACTTCTTAAAAAAGCGTTTCTCAGCTTTTGGCTTAAAAAAGCTAAAATTAGTGTTTTCAAGTGACAACTTTTACTTTTCTTTACGGAAACTTGTCTCTATGCATATCATACGTTTCGGGATCATTACATCAATCAAAGGAAAACAAATCTGACACCAACTAAACTCCAACAACTACGATTGTAAATCCTATGATCAGACTTAGAGACGGCCACCCCTGAAAGAGCAACACGAATCGCTAACCATGCAGCGGGCTTGACACAGTCATTCTCGTTCCCATAGATCCAAACATACCCAATGACATTAAAAAAAGGCTAAATTCCCAAACAAACTGACAAACCTAACAACAAAGACGATAACAAGAATCATAATGACAAAACAATAAAAACTAATAGGTAAACTTTCACGTACTCTAGCACCTTGTACAACCCATGGTGGTGGTTCAGGAGGAGGTCATATCATTGGTACCACTCTAATTGATCCTCCATTGTCGATCGAAATCTGGCCTACTCGAAGCCCGTGCAACTCTCCCTGTCCCGCACTCGTAGTAAAATCACCGCTAGCGGTCATCTTCTTCGTTGTCAAGCCCTACAACCCTCGTGGTCGCAACCCTTGTGGGCAACAATAACCTGCAAAAGAAGAGGAA